TTACTTAGAAATCATGAAGGATGTTTGCGAGACGTCCGGACGGGGTGAACACTGAAACACCCATATTATAGCATATATAGATAGGTTTGGCATTGGTATGATTTGGCCCAGATGTTAAAATTGCCTCCACGAACTCTTATGTATTTGAAAAATAAGACCATATAATGGATAAACATGTTTATTTTTATGGATTCGAGTGTGATTTTATCCCTGGAAAATACATGTTTTTGAAATAATCACCATGCGTGTAATCGTCGCTCTAAGATGTCAAGGGCATTATATGAAGAATTCTTTACTTTAAAAAAATAATAGTGTCAAATATTGCAATAGTAACATCCTCCCAGTGACCTATCCCTTTCACAACACCCGCCATTCACGGCACTAAAAGGTGGCGTGAATGGAACGGCCACCGACAGCGCAAACAGCTGATTATTTGCGTTTGTTCTGCCGCTCTCGCGGCAGCTTGTGCCACTGCCCATGTTAAAGCACTGCCAAAATGCCGTGGATAAACATCGACCGCATGCCGTGAATGAGATGGCGTGAATAGCTATCCACGGCATTGGTAATATGCCGTTGCCGTGAATGGGCTCCATTCACGGCATTTTGCCTATTCACGGCATTGGTAAGATTGGGCCCATGATCCGAGTGGATCCCACCATGCACCACATTTGAAACCATTTTTTAAAGGGTTTCTATGCCAATAAGTGACACAAAACTATGGATTATGACGTGCGATCACCTAAAATCACTAAAACAGAACGTTTGTGAGTTGAAACAAGTGCTTTTTTGGGATATATGTGTTGACAAAAAATAAGTGAGGATCTATGATCTCACTGGATCTTAAGCAAAAAATGAGACTCGGATCTGTGATCCCTACGGATCTCTCGATAAATTACAGAGCTGGATCTATGATCCCGTCGGATCCGAGATCAGGATCCGTGGGATCAGATCCCAGATCCATTTTCTCGGATCCATGCACATGTCTGGTCATGACCCGGCTGACCACCCCAATGACCTTTGACCTATGACCTATTTTTCGAGACCATGTTTGGCCGAAATCGCGATTCGGTGGATGTCTGTTCGCATAGCCGCGCGTTTGCAGTCTTTTCGTGGTTTCAAGCGTTCAGACATGTGATATGATGCTGTGACATGTATTAGGGTGGGTGTCAAGGTCGCCTGAAGCCTGAAGGTCAGGTCAGGTCACTGATCTTTGATTACCTCGGTTCTTTTTTTTTCCAGTTTGACATGTTTCTAAGCTAGTTTTAGGAGCTGAATTTGAATTTAGCAACCATTTGAATGAACATTAACTAAGTGACCCAATAGCAGGGAAATCGGGACCTGTTAAAGCGTCGTTAAGTGTGGCTGCTAAGGGTTTTTCGGGGTGCTTATCACGAATGTCATGTTTGTTTTGATCACAGATAATGTCTTCATGCATTTAGGCCAGGTAGGGTCAGGTCAGTTCAACTAGGAGGGGTCCTGCCGAGTATTCGTAGTAGGTGTCGACCGCCTCTGACAGTTCGTAACATATTATGAAGGCACCAAAGTACTTCATATGGTTCAAATGGTTGAATTCGAATTCAGCTCCCAAATCTAGCTTAAAAACATGTAAAACTCGAAAAAGTGGACCTTGGTCATCAAAGGTCAATGACCTGACCTGACCTTCAGGTGACCTTGACACCCACCCTAATGCATGGGAGCAGCATCATACATCATGTTTGAATGCTTGAAACCACGAAAAGACTGCAAACGCGCGGCTAATGCGACGTATGTCGGCCCGACATACGCCGAATCGCGATTCCGGCAACATGGTCTCGAAAAGTAGGTCACAGGTCATTTGGGTCTTTTTGTTGTTAATTGAGGCTTAAGGGAGCGCGGACTTCTAATGTCATTTTGCGCCCATAACGTCGTACTAATAAAACAAGTGTGTCAAATGAAAGAACCTTCTAGATACGAAGACTAAAAAGTAAAAGACTAGATATAAAAGAGCAACGTAAGAAACAAAACAGCGCAAAAGTGTCGTCCAAGACAACTGACTAGATGTAAGGACTATCGAGGACTAGTTGGATTGGGGTCAGATCGAGTAAATCACTTGGAAGTTGATCGAATGGATAAAGAAAAAAAAATATTGGCGGATAAAACCCAGGGTGACTCGTCACCCAGTAGGCGGCGGATAGTGGTACCCGGAGCGATGCGCCCGATTTAGCGTGTTCGGTTCGGTTCAGCGAGAGGACAAGATAAAAGCACGTGAAAGACAGTGAGAGGCACGGTACACCTGCGACAGGTGGGCTGCTCTTCTCCGCGGAGGAAATGACCATGCGTGGCATACGTATGGCCGATGCGCAGCCTACATAGGACGACTTCGTTATGTCTGTTCCTTTGCATGCATGACGACCAAGGCTCGAGAGTTGGCTTGATATCTCTCAGCTTACTGCTCGCGCGTGAGTCCCACTTTGCCTGCCACTGCGAGAGCATGGAAGATCGTACGACGGGATAGTAATCCCGGGCAGGCAGAGGAAATCGTCGAGTGTAGGGCGCTGCGGCAGCGCGTCTCGCGGCGGCGTCAGCAAGCTCATTGCCTTGGATTCCAACATGACTGGGAATCCAGCAAAAACGGATAGTTTTTCCGGACTGCTCCACCGAAGTTACCCGAGTTAAAATGTCCTGAACGATCGAGTCAATAGGATTAACCCGCGCCCTGGTGGGGTCTGTTTATAACGCGACCTGGTGGCGGGGGGCTATTTTTTGCCCCCCTCGTATCTCCGAAACTACTGGACGGATCCGCAAAATTCAAACGGCGTTCTAAAGGCCTGTCAAATTTGTTGAAGGAAACCAAATTTCATTGACCTCAGGGTCACCGATGACGTCACAGGTCATGAGGTCAGGTCAAAGATGAAATGTTTCACCGTTCACGGGTCTTCTAGGGAATGCGCTATAACACCGAAGAAAACGCATTTTGTCGAGAATCAGCGATAGGGCGTCAGTTGCCTAGTAGATATGTTGCTATTAGAGGTCACTGACAATACCAGGTCAGGTCACAGGTCAGGTCACGAAGGGTCACAGGTCAGGTCACATGAGCCCAACTTTACTAAGGTTGTGTGATGCATGTTTTATGGCCAATTTTTCATTTCCAACTCAATGGTGTTAGTTATAAGACTATCAGGTACGGCTTAGGTCACTTTCTGGTGAATTTCAGGTCAAGGTCAGGTCAAGGTCAGGCCAAAAAAGGTCAAAGTTTAAAGTTGATAGTTTTGCATAAAATGGGTATTGATTCGATGCAGCTCGTCACGGGGAGTCTAATGGTGGTCTTTGTTTTGCGCTACAGGGTCTAGAATTGCTAAAAATTGAGTTTGAAAATTTGACGTCATCAATTTTGAAGTTTTTTCGCTCTAACTTCGCCAAAAAAGAGGTATCAATCTCAAATTTGGTATGTGGATGGAAGGCGGTAAGGACTATCACATATATTCCTTTTTTGCGAAATTCAAAAAACTTTTAAGATTTTTCGATTATTATATCAAAAAAAATATTTATTTTATTTTTGGGGGTCAAAATCCAAAAATTTCAAAAATCCGAGATAGCAGTTTTGTAGCCCTATCGATTCTACAGCTTTTATGTCTTGTCATTTTTCTTTATTTGCAAAGCTATAGGCCTGACAGCTCTTCCCGCGAAACCCTTTTTGGGTCGAAAACGGCAGAACATGACGTCACTCTGACGTCATTTACGGCCAACCTATCATAGCCTTTGGAAAAATTTTGGTCACAATGTGTAAAATTGATGTCCGGGAGGGTACTGAAAGTTTGGTGACGATCGGCGCAGCGGTTCTGGAGATATATCGAAAAGCCTGGAGGGGGGCAAAAAATAGCCCCCCCCCCCCCCACCAGGTCGCGGGTTAAACCGTCGTAAAGCCAATAGACTGCTAAGTGAGTCTGATAAAACCAAATAGAAAAAAAAACGTCGGACACAGATCATTTGGGTCAGGGTCATGAAATTTTCAGGGTAGGAGTGAAATTGTTTAACGCGAGGGTACTAGAAGTTGTGTCGTGATCGGCCGTTCTTTACGCGAGTTATTCGCGAAAACCGAGAGGGGGTCCGTTTGACCCCTCCTCCCGCCCCATCGGGCAATGGTTAAATTGCTTTAAGTGAGCTTGGGTGCCGGCGGCCAATCGACCGCCTATGCGTCACAGTGTACCAAAATCATATTTTTGCTTGGGTGTCAGAGGGTAAAATTGCTGACCAAAAATAAGGATGAGAGTGAAAAATTGTCGGTCAGGTAAGGCCCAAAAAGAGTGGGAAAATGATCAAAAGCATTAATCTATCTACAATTGTGACAGATGTAAAACAACCATTCTCGCAATGGCTCCTTCTCGGTGGAATTGGGAGTGGAAAATTGGGCTTGAAAACTGGAGGTGAGAGTGGAAAATGATTTGCATTTCGATGTCGTTTCCCACCCACATCTACAAATTTTGGGACACTGATGCGTCAGCGGCTGTGAAAACGTCTAGGCAAGCGAGAGTAAGATTATAATCGCCTATTTTATGCATATCTCAGGCATGATAACTAGTTTGCTGTTGTGTCGGCCCGGGACTGGCTGTGTAACAGGATTTGGTTTGATTTACCGGCTCTATTTGACCACCGCGGTGATCTGATTCGGCCTTTGGTTAGGCATGGTTACACCACCAAGATAGGCGTGCCTATGAGTTGATGCCAATTAATCCCCGTTCAGTGTACGTTTAACCAAACTGTTCATCGGCGTTGCCACTGGAACGGTGCGGCAGTCGTACCTATGAGAAAGGAAGGTATGCACTATGTCCGCCACGCCGGAAAGGTGTTAACGCGCCCTGTAATCCCCCCCCCCCCCCATGCCTATACACACGAATACTGCTGTCATTTGGTTAGAGCACGGCCCCAGCCCTCCATTTATGGCTGACGACTCCGCCAGAAATCCAGGAGAAGCAGTTAAGTGTTCCATTGTCGGCTGAGTGCTTGTGTCGGTCCCCACACAGGCATCGCGGGTCACCCGCCATCGTTCATGCGCGCCCCGCCGCCGCTGCCGCCGCCCCGGCCGGCCCGACCGAAGCGTCCTCGACCAGCGAGGTCGGCCGATGACGGCGACGATGACTGGAGTCCGTCGCGATGCGTACGGCCGGCCAAGCGGCGGTCGCGTTCCACCGTGCGACGTGGCGCCGCCAAGAGCAGGTTCCAGCCGCCGGTGAAGAGGACGGCGACGGTGACATCGGCTGAGGTTGGTGGGGAACTGTTGGGGTGGTGGTGGCTGTCTTCTCTGCAAAACACGGGACATGTAACATTTCTCTCCAGAGAGGTACAGTAGCATTTTACACGCTTGTGATAATTGTGGGACATGGTAGTAATTATTAGGTAGTATTTAATTGTGTAGTAATTTACGCTCCTACTTGCTAGGTATCGAGTCATTTCCCGTTTAATAATATACCCGAGGCTGGAGGGTCATCGCTTGGCTTTCTTGGAGTATCTTATCAGCACCTGTCACTATATTTCAGACGGCGCCCGCTGCTTCCTCGGCCGTGTGCGGTGAGCACGTCCAGTCAGAGGAGCGGCGGCGGGTCACCACAGAAGAGGTAGCAAAGGAGGTGGACCGGTCTCCGCGCAGGCCGCCGTCGCCGCCGTACGATTTCATCGGCTTTACGCTCGAGGATCAGTTCAAGTAAGTGACGACAGCGAGTGTTATTGTGAAAATTTCAAGATACCTATCTATATCTAGCGATACCTATAAAACTAGCGATATTTTGCTGTAATTACGACTGGCACTTTAGGTTTGCATTTTAGCGTATTGTTTGTGGTCGGATATCTACTGTTTGTTTGGCGGCCGGTTTACTTTCCGCACACCTTCTGCAAGGCAAGATTCAAGAGCCTTTTATCGCCAATAAGTGAACCTCCAATACCACTTTATATATGGTTTGACGCGACTTTCAGGGCCCGGCACGCTGTGGACACGAAAGCTGAACTGCTGTGGAACCACATCATCGCCGAGTTCAAGGACTTGGGAGAAGGTAATGATCGTAATCACCATTGTCACTGGTATGAATAGCATGTCCTAGAAAAGACACCATTTACGGTCACGATCGGTTTTGGCGTTTATCGTGAGACCAAAAGCTTTGTCCTTCACTTTATGCGATAGCAACTGGATGTTATTCCAGCTGGTGCTGTTGTGGCTACGTACGTTACATTGAGTGTGCGGGCATGACGTGATGTAATGTCAAATTCCACAGAGCCTCCCGAGCGGGAGGTGTTCAAACGACGCCGGAACACGGTCAACTACCGGGAGGAGGAGGACCTGGACGACGACGACTACATCTGTGAGTAACCAGCTACCGTCTCATAAACAAACAACACTAAACCTGTCAGTCTCCACATTCTGCTGTGTATTATACGGTCATATCGGCCATAATACGTGTTCTCGTTTTCTGAGTCTTCAGTCTTTTTACAGATAGAGATAACCTCTATTTCGTGTTGTTCCAGTCTGTGACGAGTGTGACCGCGAGTGGGAGGGCGACTGTCCTGTGCACGGACCGCTGCAGGTCGTACCCGACAGCAAGGTACGGAATTCGGGAGGGGACCGCTAATTGCCCTCGCTCCGTCTGTACGTCTGATGGCATTGTTTGTATAGCTTTGAACTCCGGTCGATCACTTAATAAATCATGCGGTGTGTTTTTAAGTAAGCTACAGCTCGAGCTACCGTTCATTATTTTCTCTCATCTTGCCGTAAAAAGTGGCTCGAGTGGTAGTTACTCTTTTTGTCATGCTCCAATGGCCGCTAAACTATTTCAATTGAAAAGTGTTCCGTATCATTCTTTACGCAATCATTGAGCAATTCAGCGGTTAACTACTTATTGTGATCACCGCAACACGCTTGCACACTGCACAGGTCCCGTTCGACACTGGCGATCCTGAGAGAGACATCAAGACCCGTCCCGAGTTCCTCAACCCGGGCCGGTCCAAAATACCCGGAGCCAACACCGGTAAAATCCTCATTATTTATCCTACTCATTTGGATCCCCTGATTTATGCCTTGCGATATTTTACGGCTGTTTGATAGATATTGCTCTAAATAATGGAGCGTCAATAAGTCGCTGTCATGCAGTTTCCTTAGTTTCTCACTCAATACCGTACCACCGTATTGGATTCCTGTTGCTGTCATATTGTATTCCTTATGGCGTTCCGACTGCTTCCATTCCGCCCTCACCAGACTGAGCTGCAGCTGTGTTTAGTCTATGACAGCTCACCTATGTTACTCCTGTATTCCCACGGTCCACACAGGTATTTGGACGGAGAAGGACCTGCCGGCGCGGCTGAGGTTCGGACCCTACGAGGGTATCGTCACCGCCGACCGACGCCAGGCCACCGACTCGGGCTACAGCTGGGAGGTGAGAGCCAGCCGCGGGTCTGGGGCGGGTCTGCGTGGGATGTATTTTTGAAACTAAATATCAATCGCGCTTATCGGGAAACAACAAAAACGGAACCAGCCAGGGAAATTGAGAGAAAATCCATTTTTGAACCGTTTCAGATATTTGCATTAGTGTGGTACATGAAGAGAACAAAATAAATAGTTACCCAAAGTAGTATAACCTGGTTTGATATTAGAAAAGCTGGTGTCCGATTGACATTGCTGTCGTGGATGAGAAAGTACAGTTTTCAACATCTCTGTGATGCTGACACACTCGATAACTATAGTGACTCTTAACTTCTTGTGTTGTAAGTACGTATTTAAAACGCTAAACGGCCATTGAGTATTGACTGATGCACACTAACGGTTTTGCAGATCAAAAAGAGTCGCCGCGTGCACCACTACGTGAACGCCGGTGACTCGAGCTCCAGCAACTGGCTGCGGCTGGTCAACTGTGCCCGCTTCGAGCAGGAGCAGAACCTGATCGCCTTCCAGTACAAGGGCCAGATGTACTACAGGTAACGGTGAACGTGTCTAGCGCAGACCTTGCCCTATAGAAACTTGTTCGCTGCTTCTCGCGGCTGCCGTCATTCAGCTATACAGTTCGCGGCCTCATATGGTCATGGGCTGCTGGTACTTTGCAGTCAGAAACAACTGTTGAATTATTGGAACATTACTCGGTAATAATGACAGCTGAGCTGTATAACTGCTCTTTCCATTGTTGTTATTCGTGATGTGGCAATTTGTATTGCACTGTGACCTTTTTTGGCAGCAGTGATTGTATTCGGTACGTGTTAATTGTTAGAGTGATCAATGCGCACAAGATTCGGAATTCAGGGCTCGCTCGTCATTTTTCTGACTCATAGTTGCACCTTTCGTCATGGCCACAGAACGTATAAGCCGATTGTGAAGGGCTCCGAGCTGCTGGTCTACTACGGAGACGCCTACGCCCGGGAGCTCAACATCAACGTGCAGACGTTCAGGAAGGCTCCGGCCGCCGCCCCGCCGCCAGCAGCCTTCGTGTCAGGTGAACGACCGAATATAAGTTTGATTATGGAATGGACGCAAGGCACTTGGCCGAAGTTGGTATCTTACATAATGATATTTCTCCGGTGAATTAAAGTGGTTAGTGTGGTTTTTATCCTTTCGTCGATTTCGACTGCGCACCGCATAAGCTCGAAAGCATTAAAGCATTGGATGTGTTGGATGGACGTTTCACTGGGATGGTCAAAATGACGCGTCAGTAATCTGTTTGAAAGCGACATCGAAGTGGTCGTCAGTTGTCAGTTGCTGTTGTTGTTGGGTTAGGCTCCTTTGGTCTATTGAGACCATTTATAATATCGCTGAACCTGGGCCACTTTTACCTGCACTACGATGAAATGGGCTACACTGACGAATGTCGTGCCGCGATTCAATATATGAACGCACTATGACGTACTGTCGAAATCGCCTGCACTATCACTGAAATGACGTGAAGTGTGTGCACTGCCGCCTAAATTGGACGTAAAAAGTTGTTAACACATTCTATGAATGACGTTGGATTATGTTGTATTGTAATGCATTCAATGTCATTCGCCAGGTGGCTATTCGACGGTTCGCTGCGTCCACTGCGACTACGCCTGTCTGGGACAGGAGCGGCTGGACAGGCATGTGAAGAAATGGCACGGTCACATCGGCAGGAACGGACGGTACAAGTGTGAGTGGTGTGAGTACTCGACGAACGACATGCGTGATTTCAGTAACCATCGCCTCACCCACACGGGAGAGCGGCCCCACCGCTGTGACGAGTGCGGCAGGACGTTTACTCAGCTCATTAGTCTGACCACTCACCGCCGTATACACACCGGCCAGAGACCGTACGTGTGTGACGTCTGTGGGAAGGCGTTCACAGAGAACGGTAACCTAACGAGACACAGACGGATCCACACCGGGGAGAAGGTGCGTCAGTGTGAGCAGTGTGGGGCCGAGTTTAACCAGCTGTCCGACTACACCAGACACATTCAGTCACACAACGGAGTGAAGCCGCACCGGTGCCAGGTGTGCTCGGCCCGGTTCGTTAAACAGGCGAACCTCACCACACACATGCGGACTCACACGGGGGAGCGGCCGTACGGGTGCTCCTTCTGCGCGGCACGGTTCACGCAGCAGTCGGCCATGAGGAGACACGTCACCGCCCGGCACACACACGACTACCGACACAGGTGTGAGCGGTGTGGCAAGGGATTTGTGGTGCCCCGTGAGCTGAGGAAACACAGTGAGAGGTGCACGGTGACCAGCTGATATGTGTGTGTAGCTGTAAAGGCGGGGTGGTTGTTACGAGCCTGTTGTGATTTTATAATGCATGTAACTGCCTCTGGATCAACTTATTATGACAATGTCACTGTTGGCTGTGATCGTTGATTAAGGGCGTTGGTGCATGCCGTTTGATCATTTTTTCCCTATTTACTCGCACGCACACGACTCGATGACATTTGCGCTACGTTATTGAGTCATCTTGTGATTAGTTTTATTCATCGTATTACTGGACCCTATCGATAAATGGTTTGACCGTACTGCAGTGGTATGCATCATGGAGCGTTGTGTTGATGTTTTATAGTTTCATCTGTTCAATATATTTGGTGTTCGCATATCGGCTGTTTAAAACTCCGTTCACATACCACTAGCTGTAGTAACGTAGCCTTTCCTATACAGTCTCTCTATACGGCAGGACAGCCGTGGCCCGTGGTGCACAGTGCCGGTGCATTACCGTCCGGCCGTTCGTGGTGACCTGTCTCGGTGCACCATGCCGGCGCCATACCGCCCGCGGCACTATGTATATGTCTGTGTGTGTGGTCATACCGCCAACACAGAGACGGGTTATATCACGGGAGATCCGGGTCCTGGCGATGGGCTGTGGTTTACACTGACGAGGAAATGGGACAGTGCAAAAAGACTCTGTGGTGGTCGTAATTATACCGAGCTCACAATATTGGAGTGGACAGAAAAATCAGCCATAGACTTTAGGCAATTGTTTGACTATTGGCTTCATCACCGCAGAACATTACAAGCCTTGAGTGTTCTAAACAAGGCCATATATAGTTCTAAAGATTCTAAAGATTGATAATTAGTTGATAGAAGTCCACCGGTTGACCTTGGTTAGTCATAGGTAGTGGTCAAGTATGGTTAGGGATGACTAGCTTTATCACCAAAATACTGCGTAGATAGGGGTGGAGGTATGATAAAGATACTCAGTATATGAATCCGCAGGATATCTGTATCCCTGATGTTAGTTGTCGGACTTTCGTCCCCGTCTTGAGTTGAGATGTTAGTTTCACAACGTTTCGGCCAGTTAATTCTCCGGCCGTCGTCAGGTGTTCTTTGGCCCTTACATCTCTTCTTTTTGTCAGGTGTTCTTTGGACCTGGATGTTGGTGGCGTTGCGCCGTACAGTCACCAGCACTTGCTACTAATCACCTCGTTTTTGTTCAGTAGTTTGAAGACCGATCAATTCTCAGTCGCGCAAGATACGTCAAACGATCCGTTTGGTCCTCCGATTTTCGAATATCTAACTTGTTTTTGCATATTCGAAGCATTTTGGAATGGGGAGCCAAAAAACCTCTTTTCTGCCCTAAAGTGTGCCCCAAGAAGTCGTAGAACCTAGCCCCGCCTCTGATCCACAGACCACTAGTGCCATCTCTTGTCAGCCGAACAAGCCGCAGAAGTAAATAATGTCACGTGACCTTTGCACACGCTACAATTACTACGCAGCTGTAGTGGGGGAAGCGGGGCGGAGGCGTGGAGAGGGACGCGATCGGTCGGCTAGGGTCAGGTCGCCGAGGTCAGAGGTCATCCGCCGGAGGGTGTTTGAGCGGTTGGGCCGTGTGGGCTGGGGCCTGCGGAGTGGGGAGCGCCTGGACCTGTTTGAAAATAAGCCCTACAACGCTGTGACAGTCGAGAATATTGTGAGGAAAGATAGAGAGAGGGAGAGGAGAGAGAGAAAGGAGAGAGAGAGAAAGGGGGAGAGAGAGAGAGAAAGGGGGAGAGAGAGAAAGGGGGAGTGAGAGAGAAAGGGGGAGAGAGGAGAAAGGGGAGAGAGAGAGAGAGAAAGGGGGAGAGAGAGAAAGGGGGAGAGAGAGGGAGAGAGAGGAGAGAGAGAGAGAGAAAGGGGGAGAGAGAGAGAAAGGGGGAGAGAGAGGAAGGAGGGGAGAGGGAGAGGGGGGGGAGAGAGAGAGAGGAAGGGAGAGGGGGAGAACAAAGGGGGGAGGAGAGAGAGGAAGGGGAGGAGGAGAGAGAGAAAGGGGGAGAGAGGAAAGAGGAGAGAGAGAGAGAGAAAGGGGGGAAGAGAGAGAGAGAGAAAGGGGAGAGAGAGAAGAGGGGGAGAGAGAGAGAGAAAGGGGAGAGAGAGAGAGGAGAGAGAGAAAGGGGGAGAGAGGAGAAGAGAGCGAGAGAGAGAGGGAGGAGAGAGAGAGAGAGGGAGAGAGAGAGAGAGAGGAAGGGAGAGAGAGGAGGGAGAGAGAGGAGGAGGGAGAGGGAGAGAGAGAGGGAGGAGGAGAGAGGAGAGAAAGGGGGAGAGAGAGAGAGAGGAGAGGAAGGGGGAGAGAGAGAGAGAAGAGAGAGAGAGGGGAGGGAGAGGGGGGAGAGAGAGAGGAGAAAGGGGAGAGGAGAGAGAGAGAGAAGAGAGGGAGGAGAGGAAGAGAGGAGAGAGAGAGGAGAGAGAGAGGGGAGAGAGAGAGAGAGAGAGAGAGAGAGAGAGAGAGGAAAGGGAGAAAGAGAGAGAGAGAGAAGAGAGAGGAGAGAGAGAGAGAGAGAGAGAGAGGGCAATGGGTAGATCAGTGAGAGGGAGCGAGAGAGGAAATATTTAGATGTGTCAGCTTGTTTCACATGTAAAATGTAAATTTGCTTTCCATCATTACAGCTTCGGATTGGAAATGAAATCTTAGCATCCTAATGATAAACCCACGTTGACGGGATGCAGTAGCGGCGGAACACCTTCAATTAAGGGGAGGGGGGGGGGGGGAACTGCCGACTTTCGGTCCTATTATTTCCATGCAACGCTCATAGGGCTAATGTTGAAATGCCAAAATCAAAGGGGGGCACGGTGCCCCGGTGCCCTCCCCGTTCCACCGCCTATGACGGGATGGGGACGTTCTTATGGTCGTCGTTGGGAGCTCGGCACTAATGGGGTCTGGGGATGATGTTGAAGGTTTCGCAAATGTTTCATAAAAGAGATGCTATTTTTTGCACAACCTATTAAACATTTTTTACGTTTGCTATGAAAATGTTAGGCCCAGTTCCTTCAAGATCAGGTCCACGACTCCACAGCTTACAACAGGAGCTAGCTAACATAACAATTAACCCGCGCCGTGTTGGTGGCATACACTTTCCGTCGAGTAGAAAAACACGGAACAAATAGTGCATGGACGCGTTTCGATTATTAAATCTTCATCAGCATGACATAATCACAGAGAAAACAAGATATAGCACACAAACATTCGAGCATTCGAGCTTTGATTTTCGATTTAATGATCGAAACGCGTCCATGCACTATTTGTTCCGTGTTTTTCTACTTGTCTCTATCAATATACATTTCCGTCGAGTGCTGGGGGGGGGGGGGCGTTTCACGCCCCTCCGTCTAATTCGGCTCCTGGGCCACGTAGCGACACGCGGTAAGCGGCAATCGAAAGAGCGTCAAAAATAAGGAGGAAAACACTCGGTCATTTTAAGGTCAGGGCAAAGGTCAGGTCACCAGGGTTCATCATAAGTAAAATTTTGTTGATTTCAACGATTTTGAACACCCGACGGCTAACTCGGGAACCATTAGAGCTACAGCGCCGCGGAAAAGCATAGCTCTTTTAACGCTCTTTCGCCAACATGTCCTCAAATTTGACCTCAGATCAACGGTTTAGCCCCCAGAGGGCACCGCTCTAATTGACCTCAAATTTGACCTCAGATTAACGGTGTTTTCACCGCTCTAGCACGTCTCTGTCAAAAGTCAAAAAACTGCTGAAGACCTTTTATGTCCTAAAATGACCTCAGGGGCACACACAGGGGTCACAGGTGCAATTTCCCGATTCAGTGTGTCATGTTCACCTATGGACCGATGTTTGAGAGCGTGTAGAACGAAATTCGTCCAAAAGAGGCGCATTTCAATTTTCTCCCATTGACTTATACCTAATGGAGCAGTCGCAAAATTTACCTGATCTTAGGTCACAGACATAAAAAATCCGAGGTATCCATTTTATACATACCCTAAGCAATTATGAAAGTTTTAATGTGATCGCTCAGTCGGTGTAGCTACAGCGAGCTTTCGATTTTTTTCCGAGGTAAGGTCACTTGACGTTACCTGGTGACCTGACCTTGAATGACGCTACGCGTCGCGTCGCCGTTTTTGAGATATTCGCGAAAAACCTGAGGGGGGAAGGGCGTAAAAACGCCCCCCCCCCCAGCACGGCGCGGGTGGTCGACATAGCGACTCGGACTGAACAAATGCCTTTAACGTTTCAACGGTTGAATAAGGTGAGAGAATTGAGGAAGCTTGTATCGGATTTTCTTCTGCTTGTCGGTAGTTTAGGTTGAAGTTAATTTCGCGAGCTGTCCATAATCATTCAAGAGGGAAAATTCAGCTGCACATCGTTCGGGAAAAAAAAATACCAAACATTCTCAAAAAGAATAAGCGGAAAGGTTTCGTCTATCAAAGACTTCTTCAGCGCTTTTTCAAAAACGTATAAGAAAACTAGCACAGTGACAATCGTTTGAAATAAAATTGGATTCAGTAAGAACTAAGAACTTCATTGTCCGAAAACCGCTGACAGTTGATAGCTCAATGACATTTAGAGCCATGCATAAGGAGGCGTAAAAACACTCTCCTCATCTCGTTCTATTACGGGAGGACCATGTCATGGCGTGAGAAAGGTGTTCTCAAAATAAATGACACTGTTTGAGTGAATAAATAATCCGCGCCCCCTTGGGCTATTGGCAGACCCTACCACCTGATCGGGTGGTGCAGCCGTTTCGCCTTCCACCTGAGATCTCGGAAAGTTACCGACCGATTTTGAACATTCAAAGAGCGTTCCATAGCCCCACCAGGGAACTACCTTGTTACCAGGTTTGGTTGACCTATGTGCAACCCATGACGTCACAAGTCAGGTTAAAGGTTGCATTTTTTCACCGATTTAGTCTAAGGAATGCGTTACAGTCAGTTAACACATCAAATAAAAGGCATGTTATCGAAAAACATCGATGGAGCGTTGGTTGTCTAATACATATGTTGCCTAAAGAGGTTGCCACAGGGGTCATTGGAACCAGTTTAGATTACATTCTGGTGGAGGTCAGGTCAAGGTCAGGTCAAAGAAGATCAAATTTCGAAGTTGATATTTTGCATAAAAGGGGTATCTATTCGATGCAGCTCATCATAGGAAATCCAACAGTGGTCTTTGGCTTGCTCTGTGTGTTCTGTGACGGCTAAAAATTGAATTTGAAAATGTTACGTCATAAATTTTGAGAAGTTTTTTTTTTTGCCATAACTTTGCTAAAAATAGAGCTATCGAGTTTAAGTTTGGCATATCTAGAGCAGATAGTTCTGTAACATATATTTCAGTTTTAATTTTGAAAGTTGTTGGTATTTTCGGAGTGTTATACTTCTATATAGT